CTTCCAATATTTGAGGGACTGCCACAGAGAGGAGGAGATCAAGCTATTTTCCAAAGCACCTGAAGGCCAGACAAGGAATAATGGATGGAAACTGATTAAGGAGTGATTCAACCTAGAAATAAGGAGAAATTTTCTGAAGTGAGAACAATCAACCAATGGAACAGAAGTTGCCTTCAGAAGTTGTGGGAGCTTCATCACTGGAGGCTTTCAAGAAGAGACTGGACTGCCATCTGTCAGAAATGGTGTAGGTTCTCTTGTTTAGGTGGGAGGTTGGATTAGATGACCTACAAGATCCCTTCCAACTCTATTAATCTGTATCTAAATTGAGAACTACCTGTATTTGTCTTACTGAAAGAACGGTTGGATCTTATAAACGGGGCCTTTTTGGTAGTGGAGCCTTGCTTGTGAAAAATACCCTCTTCTTTGCTGGCCTTCAGGAAAACTCCAGGGCCTGATATCATAATATTTGTTGGCTTTTCCAGATAAGGTGCATGTGATTGCTGGAAGTTCTCCCACTCGCTCCCTTGCCTTTATTGATTCAAAAGAAAGAAAACCACTTTTCCTTCCTTTGTTTTGCTTTCGCCAGGCAAAGCTGTAGGCACGTTCCCCCTTTTTTAAAGGCAGAGGGGGCAGGAGTCTTTTAAAACAAATGCTACCGGGGAGAAGGGGGTTTCGGCTGTCAAAATGCCAAGGCAGGCACAGGAAATGGTGTTGCGTAGAAAGCCAAGGACAAACTCAACTCAATGTGGAGGGAGGGAAGCAGGCTGGCGGGAAACCGGATTAGGTTAAATTGCGCCTTGGGTCTCCAGAGCTTAGCCCTAGCTAGCAAGAGCAGATGAAATCAAGGGAAGTAGGAAAACTTTAAATTGGAAGCAGATTTTTTGCAAAGGAGGGAGGCTGAGCTTCAGGACATGGAGGAAGGGAGAGAAAGATGGGAAATTGAATAAATCAATGTTCTTCCCTCCCTCCCTTTTTCTTCCTCCTTCTTATGTTGATCCAAATGTTTGTTTCTTCTAGGAAAATCAACCCCTTTCTCTATTGTGGGTGGTTTTCCTAACCAACAGTTTATAACCCCGAGAGTCAGAGGCTGGAACGTGGGCTGTTGGCATTAGGAGAAGGCCACGAGCTGAAATCTGGGTGACTAATCTCTGAACGAGGGAGCTCGTTTTCCCCGTCTTTCTTTTAGGACTCTTGGCTCTGGCATCAAGTTGAGGCCAGGATTGCATAGTTGACATTTCATGTGGCTAGCCTGTGGGTTTGTTTATTTACTAGTTAGATTGGTAGCTTCTCCGGGAGCTTCTCTGTGTTCGTTATTATCTTGCTCACAACCACCCTGTGAGGTGGGTTGGACTGGTGGGGGGGAGAGAGACAGACATAGAGAGAGAGAGACAGAGAGGGACAGAGAAAGAGAGAGAGCAGAGAGAGAGGGATGGAGGGAGAGAGAGAGACAGAGAGAAAGAGAGAGAGACAGAGAGGAAGAAAGACAGAGAGGAAGAAAGACAGAGAAGGAGAAGGAGAGAGAGAGAGGTAGAGGGGAGAGAAAGAGACAGAGAAAGAGAGAGAGGGAGGGAGGGAGACAGAGAGAGAGGGAGGGAGGGAGAAACAGAGGGAGGGAGAGAGAGACAGAGAGAGGGGGAGGGAGAGAGAATGAGAGGGAGAAAGAGACAGAGAGAAAGAGAGGGAGGGATGGAGATAGAGAGAGGGAGGGAGACGGAGGGAGGGAGGGAGAGGTGTGAGAGAGAGACAGAGAGAGGGAGGGAGGGAGAGGGAGAGGGAGAGGAGAGAGAGAGAGAGAGAGAGAGAGAGAGAGAGAGAGAGAGAGAGAAATTGGCCCAAAGTCATCTAGTGGATTTCAGTGTTTATGGATGTACATGGATCATGACGTACGACCATAATTGACCCCAAAATTGCTGTTGCTAAGAAAGGCAGTTGTTAATGAATTTTTGTCCATTTTATGACCTTTCTTGCCACAGTGGTTAAGTGAATCCCTGCAGCTGTTAAGTTAGTCACATGGTTGTTAAGTGAATCTGACTTCCCCATTGACTTTTGTTTGTCAAAAGATTACAAAAGATGATCACATGATCCCAGGATGCTTGCAACCGTCGTAGATGTGGGTCAGTTGCCAAGCTTCTCAGTTTTGATCAGGTGACCATGGGGAAGTGGCAACCGTCATAAGTGTGAAAAGCGCTCCTAAATCACTTTTTCTCAGTGCCATTGTAAGTGCGAACGGCACCCTGAACAAACTGTTTTAAGTTGAGGACTATCTGTAGTTTCATTCATTACAGCCTGTGCTTTAACTCTCTGCATTTTTGTACACCTACACATCTGTTCACATCCACAACAGAAGTGGTTGTGTTCATTTTTACAGACTGGAGGACTAGAAACTTGAGCTTTCAAAAACAACTGGCTCTTCTTTCAAAAAGCTGTACTAGTATTGTATTCAATTCCGAGGAATCATTTGTGGTTTCTCTTTTTTCCTGTGGCTGAACCTTAACCACTCATACTGTTTCTCTGTAGACCTTTTCGGTGTTAGCAATGACTAATGCAGAAATTTACATAGTATATAGATGAGCAACATATAATATTGTTCTAGATTGCTCACTATTTGAATGAGTGATATCTGATGATACAGTTATATGTCCATTAAGGAGTCTATTTCAAAGACCCAGGAAAAGAACTCCAATAGTCTTCTGGAGGCCTGGCCCATCATTTGTACAAGGTAGTCTTTGCATTACAACAGTTCATTTAGTGACCATTTGAAGTTATAATACCGTGTTTCCCCGAAAATAAGACCCTGTCTTATATTTTTTTGAACCCTGAAATAAGCGCTTGGCCTTATTGCCATGCACTCAAAAGCCCGATTGGGCTTATTATCAGGGGATGTCTTATTTTGGGGGAAACAGGGCATTATTTTTTGCTCCAAATGACACATTATGGCTTATTTTCCAGTTAGGTCTTATTTTGGAAGAAATACAGTACTAAACGCCTCCGTCTGCTGATGATCTTAAGCTTGGGGCTCATTTTTGGGGTAGGGCTTATATTACGAACATCCTGAAAAATCATTCTAGGCCTTAGTTTCCTTCTGGGTCTTATTTTCGGGGAAACAGGGCAGTACTGAAAAAAGGGACTTATGACCACTTTTCAACACTTATAACCAATGCAGTATTCCCATGGTCATGTAATTAATCATTCCAGTCTATTACAGTCATAGACTAGAGGCCAGAACAAATAAAAACACTCAGTAAATATACAATTAAAAAAATCTATAAAATAATACAAAGCAACTAAAATCTATGATAAAACCCAGTTGGTCATGTAATGAAAATTCAGACTTTTGGCAACTGACTCTCATTTATGATGGTTTCAGTGTCCTGGGGTCATGTAATCCCCTTTTGCGACCTTCTGATAAGTAAAGTCAGTGGGGAAGCCGGATTCACTTAACAACCTTGTTACTCATTTAATAACTGCAGTGGTTCACTTAGCAACTGTGGCATGAAAGGTCGTAAAATGGGGCAAAACTAACTGAGCCAATGTCTCACTTAGCAGCAGAAATTTTGGGTTCAGTTATGGTCGTAAGTCGAGGATTATCTGTAATCTGGACCAAGAAGAAAAAAAACCTGGCAATGAAAATGTATAAGGAGTTGGTGGAATTCATTGCTACAAGATATAAATAGATCTAATTGCACAAATATTTTGGGTTTAAATAAGAGAAGTATTCATCTCATGCAGTGTTTGTCAACCTTGGGAACTTGAAGATGTGTGGACTTCAACTCCCAGAATTCCCCATCATCAACTTTTAATGACCCCATAATCCCTTGCAGGATGGAGTCTGGGCAACTGAAAGGAGCCAGCAGAGTGTTTAATGGCCAGATGCCTTTCCCATCACCAGTGCGGAGTTTTGTTCAGCAGATCTATTCTCATTGTGCCCAGAGAGAGAAATATCTACCTCTACCTAGAATTGAACTCACAGCCTCCTGATTGTGAGATGAGAGCTCCACCTCTAGGCTACTGCACCACTCCCTCCCAGAATTCCCCATCTAGCTGGGGAATTCTGGGAGTTGAAGTCCATACACCTTCAAGTTCCCAAAGGTGACAAACACTGACCTAAATTCTAGGGATCTCATCTCCAGACCATTATTAGCACCAAAAAACTAAGAGTAGAACCATCATATACTGCAGTGATACAGGTAGTCCCCAACTTATAACCTTTCATTTAGTGACCATTCAAAGTTACAATGCTACTGAAAAAAAGTGATTTATCACTGTTTTCCCCACTTATGACCATCACAGCATCCCTGTGGTCATGTGATCAAAATGCAGATGCTTGGCAACTAATTCATATTTATGACGGTTGCAGTGTCTCATGGTCATATGCAACCTTCCCCTTTTGTGACCTTCCAACAAGGAAAACCAGATTCATTTAACAACTATGTTACTAACTTAACAACAGCAGTGATTCACTCAGGGGTGAAATCTACTTACCTTCCCTACCGGTTCGGAAGTGCACGCTCCTTGCATATCACATGCGATTTTGGACCCACTGCGCATGCGCAGAGGGTCAAAAACAGGTTATTTCCTGGTTAAAGCCAGGAAGTAATGACATTCAGGCGGGTGGGTGGAGCTTGTGCTGCCGTCGCTACCAGTTCTCCGAACCATCTGCTGCCACCGCTACTGGTTTGCCTGAACCGGTGCGAATCAGTAGCATTTCACCCCTGGATTCACTTAACCACTGTGGCAAGAAAGGGTGTAAAATGGGGTAAAACTCCCTTAACAACTGTCTCATTTAACAACAGAAGTTTCAGGCTTCGTTGTAGTCCTATGTCGAGGAATATCTGTCTATCTTTAATGCTCCAATACAGGTGGGAGCTAGAAGTCAGTGGTAATTATTTCCAGATTGCCTTTCCTGAGAATTTCCATGAGGAAATTTCTTGGCCCAGCTGACTCTGTGATTAAATCCAACAGAGGAACTCTTAATTCACACTTTCTGTCTTTTTTTACAGACTTGGAAGCAGACAATCTCCCTGGTTATTGTTCGCTTACCCTTGGAGACCCTCCGCCTTATGCCTCTCCTTTGGGCATCCCATGTCCTATGCATCTTGGAGGGGGCCGTGCTGGCATGCACTCTCCTCCACCCCGTCCTGCCAACTTGGATGGCGACACCTTCGAGAGCCAACCGGCCCGGCAGGTGCGGCTGGGTGGTTCCCGGGTGCTCGAATGCCCCAGCATCCAAATCACCACTATTTCTCCAAGCCAACGGACTGATGAAGATGAGTGGGACTCTTCTCCTCGGGACTATCTCTTGCTGGAGGCTTTTGGGGGTTACCGGGAAGCAGCTCCTTCTTCCGGATTCTTCACACCAAGTCCTGCTAGCAGTGGAAGTGTCTCCCCATGGAGCTTCTTTTCGGATGACGAGGCCCCTGCTGGAGATGACGTGGAACACGAGCTAAATGAGGCTGCAGCTCGTTTTGCCCTTAGTTCACCCTTGGGTTCGCCCCGAGCATCTCCCAAGCCGTGGTCGTCCCCTGAAGAATCCTGGCCAACTTACAGCACCAGCTACTCCCCAAGTCGGGGAACGGAGGATACGTGGCTGCTTATTGGACCGCGACCATCGTCCCCCTGTGGCAAAAGACGCTACTCCAGTTCGGAGACACATTCTTCTGTATCGCCGTGCCTCTCCCGGCGGGGTAGTCTTGGTGAGGAGGCACCAGGGGACACCTTGGAATTAAGCACCGACGTGGTCCCGTTTAATTGTCCCACTGCACGGCTGGTGGAAAGCATCCCTCAAAAAGCTCGCAAGACTTCAACCGAGCAGACGGTGGCCCGGAAGGAAGAAGGGAGCTGCAATGGAGAAGATGTGGGTGGTGGCCCCATGGGTAGCGGGGGACTTGGGATCACCCGCAAAGAAGGGATGGATTATCTGGCTGTGCCGTCCCCCTTGTCCTGGTCCAAAGCTCGTCTTGGAGGCCACAGTCCTCTCTTCAGGTATGTGAGGTTCATGTGAGAGAGGAGAACTTCCATTTCTTGTCAAGACATGCAAACTTTGGCAGATTGAATCTTATTAGGCTCAAGGTTGACTCAGCCTTCCATCCTTCCGAGGTTGGTAAAATGAGGGCCCAGATTGTTGGGGGCAAGATGCTGACTCTGTAAACTGCTTAGAGAGGGCTGGAAAGCACTGTTAAGCGGTATATAAGTCTAAGTGCTATCGCTATTCTTTTTGCTATGACCAAAGTTTGTTGAGATACATTTTTAGGGATCTGTCAGGCAGATGCCACGAAGCGAGGCATGATGGGGGAATAATACATTATTGGCTCTATAACTCCAGGGTGTGTTAAACCAACACTGATTGCCCTCCATTTATCAAATGCAGGTAGTCTTTGACTTACAACCATTTGTTTAATGACCGTTCGAAGTTAAAACGGCACTGAAAAAAAAAGTGACATGACCATTTTTCTCACTTACAACCTTTGCAATATCCCCATGTTCACGTGATCAAAATTTGGACACTTGGCAACTGGATCATATTTATGATGGTTGTAGTGTCCCGTGTGATTTTCTTTTGTGACCTTCCGATCAGCAAAGTCAATCCAGATTCACTTAATGACAGTGCCACTCCTTTAACGCCTGCAATGATTCACTTAACAACTGTGGCAAGAAAGGTTGTAAAGGCTATCTCGCTTAGCAACATAATTTTTGGGCTCAGTTGTGGTCATAAATCAAGGACTACCTGCAACCAAATGCTATTGTGATTGGTCCTTGCCATGACTTAATGACATGATTTATCCCCTTGGTGTCCAGGCATTGTTTCCTTGCATTTAAAGCCGAGTTGCACACTCCTTTCAGAGAAAATCTGCTAAATTCACCTTGCAGCTGCTGGCATATAACTATGGTACCAGGTATTCTGACCTAGGCTTCCTTAGAAATTAAACAGCACAAACCTAGTCCCGAGAAACCTCTTTAATTCATATGGCTGTAAATTACTTTCATTTACAGTCTGCAAGGCTTGATAAACAGTCTTTCAGGGGAAGTTTATCAACACCCACCTATCTCACATGGAACGCTGCCAAAGAGCTAATTTCCAGACGCAGGGCAAGGCCAAACTTGGCACACAGTCACATACAGAATTTTCAAATCTTGAATCGGCCAAATGAACTAATTGCTTCCTGCAAAAGCTCACATCCCGTTCGCTTCTCTTTTATGTCTTATGGGAGGGGCCAATCATCTCCAAGCCTTACTCCCAAGTTGACCCTGTTTCCTTAATTGTTCCTGTCTCCTGGCAGCTCTGCGCATGTGCACACTGGGAACAGGCCCACACTGTTCTTCTGCCTCACTGATGTCAGACTCTGGAGACTCCAGAGGCAGCAAAGAACTACCAGATGGCCTTGGCCCCTTCTCTGCCTCTGACTCAGAGCCATCATCTGAGCCTTCCCCAGACTCCAGGACTGGCCCACGTTCCTCCCCAACCTCCTCACTGTCCGGATCTGCTGCCAGCTTTGCTGGCCGCTGGCGGGCCACAATACCAGGCTGGCATACCTGGAGGGAGGAGCCCACACAGTTGTGGCATGCCACCAACATGGGCAAACCCTAGCAATTTAAGTTATTTTTATTGGACGCGACCACAAGTAATGGAAGAATAAGAATTGCTTCTTGGGAAGCAAATAAGCCATGATTGGCTGCCAATTCTTTTGCTTTCAGATCTCTTCCACAAAGGGCAAACCCTGATTGGCTCTGCGTGAATTCCATAGATTTGCAAAACAAAACTGTGCTCAGTTTACTAATAACTCTCAAAGCAGCCATGATCAGGAGGACCATTACTTCCCTCTGTCTCTGCCTTACTCCCAAATCCTTTAAAAATTAAAAAAAAGGACTTCTTTTGCTAAACATTTGGCCACCCCTGCTTTATAGGGACAAACTTTGCAAGGAGAAAGTTTTTTGCCTTTCTTCCTGAGCAATAGAAAGTTGTAGCCTCTTCAATTAGATCGCACAGGTAGTGGTGGGATTCAGCCGGTTCGGGCCAGTTCGGGCTGGTTCAGGTGAACTGGTTGTTAAATTGCTGGTTGGCCCTTCCCCTGTCCTGCCTCTTTCAGGAGTCCCCACATGCCCCGTTTTGGCTCTCAGATAAGTGCAGGCCAAAAGTGGGGCGGGGGGAGCGTTGTCCCCCCCCCGCGGCCTGTTTTTGCTCCCAGGAGGCTGCAGGAGGCCAAGTGCTGCCTGACACACCCCCTAGCCATGCCCACCCAGCCGGTCATTAGGGCAGAGAACCGGTTGTTAAATTATTTGAATACCACCACTGCTCACAGGTCTGTACACTGGTTTCTTTCTGGATTATTTATGTTCCCAATTACAAAAATCAATTTACAAAAGTTCGTTTAATGACTATTTGAAGTTACAACAGCATTGAAAAAAGTGACTTATGATCTGAGGGATCCTTGGTGCTCTCTGAGCTTTCTTGCTTTCTTGCTTTCTTGCAGACATTTCATTACCCAAACTAGGTAACTAGTTATCTAGCTAGCACTAATGATGTCACCAAACTAGGTAACATCATCAGGGTTTGCTAGGTAACTGATGATGTTACCTAGTTTGGATAATGAAAAGTTTTCAAGAAAACAAGCAAGCTCAGAGAGCACCAAGCACCCCTCAAGTCAATCCTCAACTATAAATATTCTCCTTTATTAGTGACCATTTCTCATGCTTATGACCGTTGCAGCATCCCCATGATCAAAATTCAGATGCTTGGCCACTGACTCATATTTATGTCCTGGGGGTCAGGTGATCATCTGACAAGCAAAGTCAATGAGGAAGCCAGATTCACTTAGCAACCTTGTTACTAACTCAGGAGTCAGCAACCTGTGGCTCTGGAGCCGCATGTGGCTCTTTCACCCCTCTGCTGCGGCTCCCTGTCACCCGCCGGCACACAATTTATTGAGCTTTTCAATAACCATGGATAAATCCAAGAAAAGAAAAGTTTCATAAGAAAACAGAACATTTAATTCAACTACATATGCTTGTTTTCTGGTCGCTCAAAAAATAGTCAGGCACGAGAAAGGTTTTGTGGCTCCCAGTGGTTTCTTTTCTGTGGGAAACAGGTCCAAATGGCTTTTTGAGTGTTTAAGGTTGCAGACCCCTGTACTAACTTAACAACGGCAGGGATTCATGTTGAGGGTAAAACTGCCCTCTGCAAAGTGGTGCAACGGATCAGACAGTGAATAGATATGTTGCTTAGCAAAAACACACAGATACTCACAGACTCTGAATGTTTAAAGAAAAATAAACAGTCTTTACTTGTAGTAAAAAACAAACAAACTTGGCTTGTCAAAACAAAGATAACACTTGAAGTAATCACGGTTCAACACAAAAACATAGTTTGCTTACAATTCCAGTTCTCTTCAGTAACACAGACACAGTTCCTTTCAGCAGTTCAGCCTTCTAGTAGCAGGAGCAGAAGTAAATGAACTTCCTGCCTTCTTTTATGTCTGCTTAGCACAGCCAAGTAGTCATATAGTAGCAGTTAAAATTACAGAACATAGTTTTCTATATATTATCTACCCAACCGTAGGATAAGCATCCAACAATTCACTAAACCGCTGTGGGAAGAAAGGACGTAAAATAGGGCAAGACTCACTTAACAAAGGTCTTGCTTAGCAATATAAATTTTGGGCTCAATTGTGGTTGTAAATCGAGGACTGCCTGTACCAGGGGTGAAATTCAGCAGTTTCTGACAGGTTCTGGAGAACTGGTAGCAGAAATTTAGAGTAGTTTGGAGAACCAGCAAATACCACCTCTGGCTGGCCCCAGAGTGGGGTGGGAATGGAGATTTTGCAATATCCTTCCCCCAGGAGTGGGGAGGGAATGGGGATTTTGCAGTATCCTTCCCCTGGAGTGGGGAGGGAATGGGGATTTTGCAATATCCTTCCCCTGGAGTGGGGAGGAAATGGGGATTTTGCAGTAGCCTTCCCCTGCCATGCCCATCAAGCCATGCCCACCAAGCCACGCTCACAGAACCAATAGTAAAAAAATTTGTATTCCAACACTCACTTGTACCCATTCTTCAGCATCACAATCGTTAACTTGCTTTTTAAAATCCTCCATCATCCCTACCATACAGGGGTGGTATTCACTTATCTTCGCTACTGTGAGCGCGCGCAGGGCCTTCCACGTATGCGCAGAGCATCAAAAATGTGGACAAATGGGACATGATTATGTCCAGGTGGAGCCACCCGCAACCACCGCTACCAATTTGCCCAAACTGGCTGAATACCACCACTGCTACCCTACCAAGAAACTAGTTAGGTGTGGGACTTTTGTCCAAAAAACTTTTGCCTGATCGTAGCTCTCATTCTCCTCCCCTAATTTTAATTCCTTTGGCTCAGGGCGATGGGGTAAATGGGATACCCAGAATCTCCATTCTTTTAGCTACCTTCAAACTAGCCTTTTGTGGCTCCGTCAGCCTTTTGGTCTGACTGCCAGTGGGTCTGTTGTATAAAACAATCTGTCAAGCCAGCCCAGGCAGAAAAGGCTGATGTCTCCTGTTACACATCCCAGATCCCAGCTCCAGGGCTGTTGAGATGGGTTGCTGGCATAAACAGACCGTGGTTCGTTCCCTGTTAAGGTAAGCAGTTGGATCGGAAGAATTTTGCCTGCGTGGTAGATCAGCCGTCTTCCTTTTGTGCATTCCACCAGTCCCTTTTTATAATTCTACACTTCAGGGTCAGCTTAATTCTATACTAAACCCCATCAGGTTTTTGTTGTTGTTGTTGATTTTTGTAAAGAAACGCTGCTTAGAATTTTTAAAGTCCTTTTTGAAATGTATCTGAGTTATCAGAATAACAGAGTTGGAAGGGACTTTGGAGGTCTTCTAGTCTAACCCTCTTCCTAGGCAGGAAACTCTACACCACTTCAGACAAATGGCTATCCAACATCTTTGTAAAAACTTCCAGTGTTGGAGCATTCACAACTTCTGGAGGCAAGTTGTTCCACTGATTAATTGTTCTAACTGTCAGGAAATTTCTCCTTAGTTCTAGGTTGCTTCTCTCCTTGATTAGTTTCCACCCATTGCTTCTTGTCCTACCCTCAAGTGCTTGACTCCCTCTTCTTTGTGGCAGCCCCTGAGATATCGGAACACTGTTATCATGTCACCCTACTCACGGGTGAAATGCTCCTGGATCGGACCAGATTGCCCAATCCGGTAGCAATTTTTCCCTGTGGTTCGGCAATCTGGTAGCAATTGCTGCCTGGGTGTCATTATTTACTGGTTTTAACCAGGAAGTAATGTTTTTTTTATCTTCTGGGCATGCGCAGAAGGTTTTGAGCTTGCGCAGAAGGTGTGCGCACCGGTGCTTCCGAACTGGTAAGGAAGGTAAGTAGATTTCACCCCTCCCCCTACTCCTTCTTTTCATAAGACTAGACATACCCAGTTCCGGCAACTGTTCTTCATATGTTTTAGCCTCCTGTCCCCTAATCATCTTTGTTGCTCTTCTCTGCACTCTTTCTAGAGTCTCAACATCTTTTTTACATCATGGTGACCAAAACTGGATGCAGTATTCCAAGCGTGATCTTACCAAGGCATTATAAAGTGGTATTAATACTTCACATGATCTTGACTCTATCCCTCTGATTATGCAGCCTAGAACTGTGTTGGCTTTTTTGGCAGCTGCTGCACACTGCTGGCTCATATTTAAATGGTTGTCCACTAGGACTCCAAGATTCCTCTCACATTGACTGCATCATTTATAATTAGTGCTTTCTCAGAAGATGAGATAGAGTGCATGTAGGAAGAAAGAAGGAATTTAAAGTGAAGATCTGAACTATTTGCTGATAACGGACCTATTGGGAGGACCTGCAACCTCTACTCACCAGTCAATTGGAATCAGAATCAGAATAGAGCTAGAAGGGACTTTGGAGGTCTTTTAGTTCAGGCCCCTACTCAAGCAGGTGATCCTATATCCGTGATGGCAAACCTATGGCACGCATGCCACAGGTGGCACATGGAGCCATAACTGTGGGCATGCGACATCCTGTGGTCATCTGACCACAATTTGCACTGTTTTTAGTGATTTAGGAAGAATGGGTTTAAACCTATGTTTGTTTGTTTGTTTGTTTGTTTGTTTTATTAAATTTGTATACCGCCCTACCCCCGAAGGACTCAGGGCGGTGAACAGGCACAGGATAAAATACAGAATACAAAAGTTAAAAACAATTTAAAACCAAATTAAATAATATTGGCCCACGACAATTAAAATCCCAATAAATTTAAAACAAATTAAAATTTCAATTTAAAATTTAAATGATCACAAGGTTCACTTAACAACGCTATAAAAATGGTTGTAAAATTGTGTCTGGTGGCTTGGGTGCCTCAACTTACAACCCCCTTACATATGACTAAAACCTGGTCCCAGTTCTGTGTTATAAGTTGATGACTTATAGAGCTTCATCTCATTCTTACACAAATTTGCTATTTTTTTAATAATAGTGCACGCAGCAAGCCAATACTGTTTTACGTGCAGTTTTCTTTAAGCCTTGTATTTTACATGCGGTTTTTTAAAACTGCATTGCAAAAAAAAAAAAAAGAAGAAAGAAATATGGAAAACAAATGAAAATTGCATCCATGCGGTGTGATCAGAAAATGCAAATGGGGACAGTGGCGTAATTATTATTAAAACACACACCAAACAAATGTCATTTCCGTCTCCATGGGAGGGTTTTACCCTTGATCCAGTTTCTTTTGAGAACTCTGAACCTTTATATTTTAATTTTGAATTGTAGCGAAGGAAAATCTGCTAGTACTGTTGTTGTTATTATTTGAAAAAGACAACATTGTAGGGTCACTTTTCATTAAGTCCATGAACTGAGCATTTTGAGGTCCCATCTTAAAATGGATACCGTAAAACCAAAAACAACACAGAGCAGGTTATCTGAAATGATCACAGAGATTAAAAGATCTACCGTTAACTTTAGAAATCTAATAATATCAATATTTTCCACATGAGAAAAAAATGCTGTGGAGAAAGTTGATAAAATTAGGTATAGCAGCACAAAAAGGACTTTCCTTCCTCTTTCCCCCTTCACTTTAAGCTGAAATGACACTGTGAAATTGATTTAGAAAAAGACCTCAGAATTGCCTTTACAAAATAGAAAATAACTGTAAAATAAACATACGGAATTCAGTATGGCATTCTATGATGGCCAAGGCTTTGCGCAATTGAATTACTTGCTGAGCTACAATAAAGCCTCCTCGTAGTAACTGTGAGAGGGAACTTGGAGTCCTAGTGGACAACCGTTTAAATATGAGCCAGCCGTGTGCAGCAGCTGCCAAAACAGCCAACACAGTTCTAGGCTGCATAAACAGAGGGATAGAATCAAGATCACATGAAGTGTTAATACTACTTTATAATGTATTGGTAAGGCCACACTTGGAATACTGCATTCAGTTTTGGTCGCCACGATGTAAAAAAGATGTTGAGACTCTAGAAAGAGTGCGGAGAAGAGCAACAAAGATGATTAGGGGACTGGAGGCTAAAACATATACAGAACGATTGCTGGAACTGGGTATGTTTAGTTTGATGAAAAGAAGGACTAGGGCTGACACGATAGCAGTGTTCCAATATCTCAGGGGCTGCCACAGAGAAGAGGGGATCAAGCTGTTCTCCAAAGCACTTGAGGGTAGGACAAGAAGCAATGGGTGGAAACTAATGAAGAAGAGAAGCAACTTAGAACTAAGGAGAAACTTCCTGACAGTCAGAACAATGAATCAGTGGAACAACTTGCCTTCAGATGTTGTGAATGCTCCAACACTGGAAGTTTTAAAGAAGATGTTGGATAACCATTTGTCTGAAGTGGTGTAGAGTTTCTTGCCTAAGCAGGGGGTTGGACTAGAAGGCCTCCAAGGTCCCTTCCAACTCTGTTATTCTATTCCATTCCATATAGTCCTATTCTGTTCTGTTCTGTTCTGTTCTGTTCTGTTTTGTTCCGATCCATTCCGATCCATTCCGTTCCGTTCCGTTCCGTTCCATTCCATTCCATTCCATTCCATTCCATTCCATTCCATTCTATTTTTAGGCAGTATATCCTCAGAATGCAAGGTTCTAAGACCAGAAGTAAGCACAAGTAATCCTTGACTGAAAACCAAAATGGAGCCCATAAAGTCTCAGTTGCTAAGTGAGTTTTGGCACATTTTATGACTTCCTTGTCACGATTGTTAAGTGAATCCAGTTTCCCCATTGACTTTTTTTATCAGAAGGTTATAAAATGTGATTACATGACTCCAGGACACTGCAACAGTCACAAATATGAGTCAGCTATCAAGCATCTAAATTTTGATCATGTGACTGGGGATGCTGCAATGGTCATAAGTGTGAACAACGGTCATCGATCACTTTTTTCAGTGCCACGGTAACTTCAAACAGTCACTAAACAAATTGGTTGTAAATTAAGGATTAACTGCATTTGTTGTCACTGAATAAAAGTTAGATAAACTTTAGTTCTAAAGAGCAAAGCTCTTCTTGCACTGAAAATCTGACATAAGGGAAGTTGGAATATAATTGGATTTTCCTTCTACTAAGTTAAAATACCTCTCCAGATGAACTGGGATGGTAATATTTTAAATATTGAAATCTAAACTGTTACAGGAACTGGGCGTGGCTAGTCTAGTGAAGAGAAGGACCATGATAGCAATGGTCTAATATTTGAGTGGCTTCCACAGAGAGGAGGCAGTCAAGGTATTCTCCAAAGCACCTCAAGGCCAGACAAGGAATAATGGATGGAAACTGATCAAGGAAAGATTCAACCTAGAAATAAGGAGAAATTTTTTGACAATGAAAACAATCAGCCAATGGAACAGAAGTTGCCTTCGGAAGTTGTGGGGGCTTCATCACTGGAGGCTTTCAAGAAGAGACTGGACTGCCATTTGTCAGAAATGGTATAGGGTCTCCTACTTGAGTGGGGGGGGGTTGGACTAGATGACCCACAAGGTCCCTTCCAACTCCGTTAATTTGTTAAAATACTTGCAATATAAATTCTTTCTGTATTAGCTAGAAGTAGATGTTCTGAATCCAGTAGTTATGAACCCTAGAGATGGGAAGAAGTTTAAAGACTTGTAGTAGCAGCAGATGTGATGATTTGGGGGAGGGAATATGTTATTGTGCTGGTGTGTGGCTTAGATTTTGAACTGAGCCCTAATTTTGTGTTAAAACCCATTGTTGAGCCGCGTCCATCACATCTGCCGCTCTACACACAAACCGCAACTAATGAGGATTCAGGCGGGCGGCAAAACAAACCTGATGCAACGGGGATCAGGGTGGGAGACAAACATACCAGATACGAAGCATGGCGAGGGTACATGGGTGTTAGTAGGGACCGTGATACGAATGGTAATGGTGGCATTGGGTGATAAGCAGCTGAAGTTGTTGCTGGTGATCGAAGAAGGATAATGCAGGGAGATGATGTGGACAGGGATAATGAGCAGCTCGGCTGAGCACATTTCCCCCCAACAGCTGTGATAGTTGGCACAGCAAGACCCTGAGTGATTGGGGGCATGGACTTGCCTAGAAAATGGGCGTTGAGAGGCGGAAGCTCTCAGCGCCGACTTTAAACCTGCAGAACTCCATTTGTCTTGTAGTCGGCTTGTAGCTGTTATAAACGTGCCTTTGACTAGCATTCCAGCGGGTTTGAGTCTTTTGTGGCACTTCAGCACAAGTGTGGCCAAGCAAGCCGAGACCCATATTTTATGCCGAAAGGAGACCTGGTTCAATTCTCAGCAGCTACCCAAGTGACCAAGTTTTGGGAGAAAAAAGTGCTCTTAATCTGACTGCAGAGATGGGAGCCTTTTGGCTTCCTGAATCTGCTCAATCTTACCTGCCCATTGACCTGACAACTGCCTGTCCCACCTTGTGGAGATGGTCTATCAAGGTCAACCTCAAATGCCTTTTTGCTTTTCTCAACAGATCTTCTGCTCTTCCACCTCTGGACTGGCCTCTCCCCAGTCAGTATGAGCAGTATGAACTGAAGATCGAAGTGCAGCCTCGAACCCATCACCGGGCCCACTATGAGACGGAGGGCAGCAGGGGTGCTGTGAAAGCCACCCCAGGAGGACATCCTGTAGTGAAGGTAACTGAGGGATGAGATGATAAGCATAATTTCTTATTAGCTGCCATGACAGCCTTTTGATCATAATCAGCAATACATTAAAGACAGAGGTGATATTCAGCCGGATCGGACAGGTTTGGGGGAACCGGTAGCAGAAATTTGGACTGGTTCACTGAACCAGCAAATACCACTTCTGGTTGGCCCCACCCCTTCCCACCCGCTCATTGCTTGCCAGAGGGACGGCGTCGGAGCGGAGCTACTTGGAAGGCAGCCAGACCGTGGTGTCCCTTTAAGGTACTTCGACGCTGGGGGGAGGGGGACCATAAAGGGACAGGCCACATAAGTTGCCTTTTTTGCCAGTTCTGTGGGTGTGGCTTGGTGGGCGTGGCTTGGTGTGGGTCATGTAACTGAGTGGGCATGGCCAACTCGGTGTCACTCACAGCAAGGTGCTGCCCCACCAAGCCAAGCCATGCCCAATAAGCCATGCCCACAACACCAGTAGTAGAAAAATTTGAATCCCACCACTGATTAAAGAGCCACTTTGGTCTAGCGGTTAAGGCACCAGGTTAGAAAGCTGTCTACGGAGATTCTCAGTCATCCAGGTCATGGTTATCCCAAAGGTGCTTTTTCAAGAGACAACTGGGCTTTCTGGTTTTTGTTTGAAGACATTTCAGTTCTCATCCAAGAACTTCCTTCAGCGTTACTTCAAAAAAACAATAGAGGCGGGATATAAATTAATATTTAGGATTATTCGGAATATTTAATATTTAAATATTTAATATTTAGAATATTCAGGAAGGACGCGGTGGCTCAGTAGCTAAGACACTGAGCTTGTCAATTGAAAGGTCAGCAGTTCAGCAGTTCGAATCCTTAGTGCCATGTAATGGGGTGAGCTCCCGTTACTTGTCCCAGCTTCTGCCAACCTAGCAGTTCGAAAGCACATAAAAAATGCAAGTAGAAAAATAGGGACCACCTTTGGTGGGAAGGTAACAGATTCTGTGCACCTTCAGCATTTAGTCATACTGGCCACATGACCATGGAGATGTCTTCGGACAGCGCTGGCTCACACTCATTGCTACTAACAAACAATGGGCATTGTAGTCCATCTTCTAAAACAGTGCTTTTCACTTGAGATTGTGTGGGACATTCTCACTTTTGAATGCTTTTACAACTCCGTGTTCAGCATCGGAGTCAGAGGTGGTATTCAGCCGGTTCAGACTGATTTGGGAAAACTGATAACGGTGACTGCCCTGGCATAATGGCATCCGATTTAGTCACGTTTTTGAGGCCGGGCGCATGTGCAGAAGGCGCATGCATGAACAAAACACATGCACGGAAGGCCTAACAAATGTGGGGAAAGCACGTACATGTAAAGCGAGCGTGAGCACACACAGTGAACTGGTGGTAACAATATGTGAAACCTACCGCTGACCGGAGTCCATCAGAATTCTACTATTTTTTTTAAATTTGATTTATATGCCACCCTTCTCTGGAGACTCAGGGCGGCTTACAATGCGTTGAGCAATAGCCTTCATACTTTTGTATATTTTATACAAAGTCAGCTTATTGCCCCCACAAACTGGGTCCTCAATTTACCTACCTTAGAAAGGATGGAAGGCTGAGTCAACCTTGAGCCTTGGCGAGATTCGAACTTGCAATAATTGCAGACAGCTGAGTGTTAATAACAGGCTTTTTAGTCTGTTGAGCTATCCAGGCTCCTACTATCTCAGGATAAAAGGGAAAAGGATACGATTTTTCATCCATCTTTTCCCCTTATGTGCTAGCATGATGTTTCTTAACGTTAGCAACTTTAAGATGTATGGATTTCAACTCCCAGGTTACCTCAGACAGCATACTGACTGGGGTTTCTGGGAGTTGAAATCCACACAGCTTAAAATTGCCAAGGTTGAGAAACACTGTGCCAGGTTTTCTTTCCGTTGTTAGCAAGGAACTTGGAATATATATATATATATATTTGTTATATATATATATATTCATTTTCCTTCAGAAATACATTCTCCAACCACATCTTTCTGTGTCTGTGAGACTGAGGCCAAATTCTAAGTCTTAGATTCGGGTTATATAACCAGAGAGGGATGTTTTATGTACATAAATGCTCTATAAAATACAAGTTGTTTTGTTTAACTTGGATTCATGTTCTCTCTTCCTTCAGACATACATCAAATTAGAACGTCAACGATTCAAATTTCTCTCTCAATTTAGGCAAATTGTACATATCTCTTCCAGTTTGAGTTGTATTTATAGTAGTGGTCAAAATTGTGGAAACCTTTTGGGAAAAGTGTATTTATTAGAAGTGTAAAACTAGCTAATAACATCACTTTTTGGGGGGGAGTAGTACCATAAAATTATATATCAATGGAAAGATAATTTAATGAAGAATGTAATGCAATAACTTTTATGAAGGATTTGCTATTAGAATAGCAGTTACAGTATAAAGAAGAAAAGTGAAACACATAGAAAAAACAAATATGATTATCTTGAAACTCAAAAAAAAAAAAAGTGGTATTATTAGCCATCAAACCTCAAAAATACACTTTTCCCAAATGGTTTCCACAATTTTGGCCACTACTGTGGTAGTTAGAAAGAGGCGCACAATTTTCTCTTTATCTTGATTTAACCTTGAATTTAAGGCAAGACTTTTCCTGAGAATATTCTGATGCTTCTGAAGTCATCCCATACCATATTTTTCGGAGTATAAGATGCATCAGAGTATAAGACGCACCTTAGTTTTTGGGGAGGAAAATAAGGAAAAAGCTGATTGGCAGGTGGATCCGCTTCCTGGAATCCCCCAATCAGCTGTTCCCAGAGGTGAATTTTAGCAACAGGTTCCCTGGTTGTGAGTTCTGTGCCTTGCTTTTTTTTTTTTTTTTTTGCTTTTTTTTCCTGCCTCTGAAAGCCTCCGAAACAGAGCTTCAGAAATATAGCCTCTGAAGCTCTGTTTGGGGGCTTCTTTTCTAAAGCTTCATTTTTGGTGCTTTTTTCAGCCTCTGAAACCTCTGTTTGAGAAGCTGGGCATGGCTACATTCGGAGTATAAGACCCACCCAGATTTTCACCCTCTTTTTGAGGGGGGAAAAAGGTACGTCTTATACTTGGAAAAATACGGTAATTACAATTCCATCTTTTTTTTTTACATTACAAACTGTGTTGCCTTCAAGAAAAGTGATTTAACAAGTTATTGCCCTGAAGATTTTTTTTTTAATTTTTAAAAACCTTTATTGTTAAAAATGTTTTTGTACATGATGGAACTGTTTTTGGCGATATCTCCACCATATAAAGTATAACACAACTCTCTTATGTATTCAATATACATTACTACTTACTAATTATATACACATACTTAACCTCTTATACATGCTTACATTTACATACTATATTACATACTGTATATTGCTTTTTGTTTCAATCTATGCATCCTCATTCTTACTCGTTCTGACTTCTATTCCTTAAGTCTAACCATTGATAAAATCTATTCCAAATCTCATAGTATTCTAACTCTCCTTTGTTTTTCAGTTCAAAGCGTCAATCTATCACATTCTGCACAGTCAAGTATTTTCTTTATTTATTTCCCTTTCTTTAGGTATATTTTCACTCTTCCACTGTTGGGCATAAACTATTCTTGCTGCTGTTGTGATATGCAATATTAAATATGTTAACTCTTTATTTAGATCTCCTTTTATAATTCCTAATAGGAATTATAAATAATTTTGGTTTGAATTCCAATCTCTGCCTGGTCATTTCTTCCAACCACATTCAAATCTTTTGCCAGTATTCTTTTGCTCTTTTACATGTCCACCACATGTGGTAATAAGTGCCCGGTATTTGGTCACATTTCCAGCATTTAGGTGATAAATTTTGGTACATTTTGGCTAGCCTAGCTGGTGGTAGGTGCCACCTATAAAACATTTTATATAAATTCTCTTTGTACAACGTGGCCCCCTGAAGATTATTTTTTTTATTTTCACCGTTTTATGAATCCCTCTTCATTTCATTTCCAATCTCCAGTAGTTATTTGTTGCTTGTTTGTTTGTGTGTGCATGTGTGTGTGTCTGTGTGGTATGACATTTTCAGACGTGGAGTAATCTGCAAAGCAAAGTCAGAGCTCTTGGAGAGGTTTGCGGGAACAGGAATTGGAGGGGGTGGGAAGTCTCGTTGGAAAAGCTTCATCCAGAAATCCCAAAGACGAAAACTATTCCCACTTCAAAGACTTCCCTTGCTGTGTACAAAGCAACAAAACAAAACCGAGCGCAAATGTCACATATTTTTTTTCCCCTTTCAGAACTTGTGAAATAGATGCCAACTATATTTAGCTTACAGAAACCTTTTCTTTTAAATAGGGGAATGTGTGGGTGATATCTGGCCAGCTTGAGCTCATAATGAGAAGAAAGAAAGATGGAAAAATTGGGTTTTCAGGCTGATGCCCTTTGGGTGCACGTGTCTCTCTGGTTATGTTGGACTACAACCTCTGTCATCCACCAGGAAGGGATAGGATGATGGGAATTGTAGTGTTGAATTGGGTATGTCTTGTCTAGTGAAAAGAAGGACTAGGGGTGACATGATAGCAGTGTTCCAATATCTCAGGGGCTGCACAAAGAAGAGGGAGTCAAGTTATTCTCCAAAGCACGTGAGGGCAGGACAAGAAGCAATGGATGAAAACTCATGAAGGAGAGAAGCAATCTAGAACCAAGGAGAAATTTCCTGACAATTAGAACAATTAATCAATGGAACGTCTTTCCTTCAGAAGTTGTGGGTGCTCCAACACTGGAACTTTTTAAGAAGAGATTGGACAGCCATTTGCTTGAAATGGTATAGGGTTTCCTGCCTGAGCAGGGGATTGGACTAGAAGACCTCCGAGGTCCCTTCAAACTCTGCTATTCTGTTATATGTTCTGTTATATCTTATACTGCCTGAACTGTTAAAATCATTTTTTTAAAAAATAAACCCCAGTGGTATGCATAACATACTCTAACTACAACATTACACCACTGTGATGAACGAAACA